GAGACTGACATAGAACTGAAAGTTAATTGATGCCCTTGACTGAACTAGCAAAAAGCAGAGATGGAAGATAATATATTTTTTAACAAGACTTGGAAAAAATGTTTCATTTCACCAATAATGGGAAAATGATAACAGACAAAATGGTTCTTTTTTTCTTTACCTCAATATTTCATGCAATAGATATTAATAATTGATATTTATACACCATACATCAGAGGTTCCTTAGATAAGATCTCTTCAGTGAGGTCAGGTATCTGTGTATACATCATCTGTATGTGACATCTTTATAAACACTCACAACGCTGCAGATATATTATAAACAAGAGTCTTTCAATCCTTAAAATACACTAGTTATTTTAATATGTGATTAATTGTAAGCATAATGTGTTTACTACACAAAGTCATCATCAGACACAAAACCTGTTACAGCTATCAATGTTTACTATGGTACTGCTATTCTGTCCTTCCTCTAACTTACTCGATAGAGAACTTAGAACTTTTCTTCAGTATTCTTTAATGCTGAATTACACCACATACAATTGTTATACGTCTTGATTCCAATACTACAGGGAATAAAATATTAACAAAAAGATACATAAAACAAGGATCTCTCTCTAGACTGCTCTACTGTTACACGTATCTCCTTTAAACAAGGACTTGACGGTCACCTTTACTCCTTCTAAATACTTCCCATTGTCACAATAGTATTAACAGGACTTCTTAGATTAACACACACACTTCAGAGGTTCCATGATAAGATCTCTTCACAGAGCTCAGGTATCGAAAGATCATCATACCTGTGTGCGGAATTATTGGGACAAGTACTTACTTAAATTAATGTTTCCTCTAATTATTGTGAATGGATTATGGAAGGGGACAATATCAACTCATGTTTTCAATCCAGACACTTGTCACCTCCTTAAAAGGACTTTGATGCGAATACATTTTTTAAGGTATGGGCATTTTAAAAGATTCTATAGCTAGTATTTTTAACATTAATTCAAGTCCCTACTAATCGCTGAAAACCCTTGCCATCATTAACAAGCCAACAATGGAATGATATGTTGTCGTAATTGTCAGCTATTCTATGAAATCTAGAAAAAGAAAATTCTATTTAAATCAAATACAACATTTTGTTGGTGCACCAGTCTAACAATTAGTGGTTCAGGGTTCTAATCCTGATCTCTCCTGGTTACATTTGTAAACTCGGAACAATGTTGCTGATTTTCTTTGAAAATGGTTATTTCACCATCATTATTTTTTCATACAAGTTACTCAAGACATAGTTTGGTTAAAAATATGAGCTTCCCTTCATTCAAACACATTAACACACACACTTCAGAGGTTCCATGATAAGATCTCTTCATAAAGATCAGGTATCGAAAGATCATCATATCTGTATGTGAAATTATTGGGACAAGTATTTACTTAAAGTAATGTGTCCTCTGTTAAATGTTATGGATTATGGTAGGGGAGACGAAGGAAATGAAAAAAAAATCTATAAAATGTAAATTGTTTACTGGATCAATTTTTTTCGGTATCGTAATTCACCCTAATAGTTACCGTGTCTACTGATGGCAGTCTCATTATTGATTCATGGTAAATAAACTGACTGCTCATGTCGAAATTAACGGTTTGGTCAATTGCCAAGTTTTACAGGTGAGAAAAGTCGACCTCCTATATCAGACAAAACCCTTGCAGATTTAATCAAGAAGTTTACCATTATAATACCAATACTGGCAATAGGTATCACACACATTACACTGAACTAGCCAGGGTAACTAGTATAGGTAGAAGATAGGTTATTTCTAATCAAGACCTGGAAAAAGTTTCATTTCACCAAAAACGAAGAATTGAATAGAAAAAAATAGTTGCTTTTTTTTTCTTTCCCTCAATTATTTATGTAATCAATAAAAATTCAACATTTGTACACTATACATCACAGGTTCCTTAGATAAGATCTCTTCAGTGAGGTCAGGTATCTGTGTATACATCATCTGTATGTGGCATCCTTTTTAACATTCACAATGCTGCAGATATCATTATAAACAAGAGTCTTTCAATCCTTAAAATACACTAGTTTTTTTATATGTGATTAATTGTAAGGATAATGTGTTTACTACACAAAGACATCATCAGACACAAAACCTGTTACAGCTATCAATGTTTACAATGGTACTGCTATTATGTCCTTCCTCTAACTTACTCGACAGAGGACTTGGAACTTTTCTTCAGTATTCGTTAATGCTGATTACCACCACATACGATTGTTATACGTCTTGATTCCAATCCTACAGTGAATAAAATATTAACAAAAAGATACATAAAACAAGGATCTCTCCCTAGACTGCTCCACTGTTACACGTATCTCCTTTAAACAAGGACTTGACGGTCACCTTTACTCCTTCTAAATACTTCCCATTGTCACAATAGTATTAAACAGGACTTCTTAGATTAACACACACACTTCAGAGGTTCCATGATAAGATCTCTTCATAGAGCTCAGGTATCGAAAGATCATCATATCTGTGTGTGAAAT